ACTATAAAGGACTTATTTTTTATTGTGACTTCTTTTTTTTTTTTTTTGTGCGTTCTGCATAAGACTTGTGAAAAATGTAAATAACGGACTAGTAAATAGAATTGGAAGGGTGGGGGACCCCTCCCGGTACACTAGTTGTGTATTTTTTGTCTGCTGTAATTGTATTCCACTGATGGTTTTGGTGGTGGCAATTTTTTTTCCTTACCCCCGGAAGCGTCCGTTTGGGATGCTCCTTTGACATGCAGCTTGTAACCAGACTGAGCAAAGATGTCCACTGGTGAAAGTTGTTCCTACTGTTGTACACGTGAGTTGTTCAGTGTGTTAGTCATGTTTGAACACTGTATGGACTGCAGCGAAGCCGGTTGGGTCTTCAGCTACTGACGGGACATCAGCAAAACAATCAAGTTTTTATATGGATTTTTGTGCTCGTATGTTTGAAGAAAACAGGAAGTCCGTGTTCTAGGAAACTTCTGCTCAAGCCCTTCTTGATCTTCGGACATAAACAATGCGGAATGATTTCAAAGAAAGCATAGTAAATTCAGCTCAGGGAGCCACGAAAGATAATAGCAACTTATGTGTTTTGTATTCAAATGAAAGTAAAGAATTAGAATTGATAACCTTTAAAATACAATTTTTTAAAACAAAGTTTACTAACAAGTAGGGTTTGTGTGTGGTGGGGGGAAGGGGCTGGCTTTGGTAGGGTCCTGTGGCTATATGGTCTTGTGTCTTCTGGTATATAGGTTTCAATGAAGCAAAACTCATCCCCGCACAGGCCTGCATTTCAGCATTTTGTACTAAAGGGTAAAAAAGAAATAATGGGAAATAAAAGTATTTGTGTAGCAGAAGTGCTCACCCTGTATTGTAGCTATGGAAGAAAATTTTTATACTACATTTTTATGAATTATTTTCTAATTTTTGATTTTAATCTGGTCAAAAGTCGTTAGGGTTAAGGTGAAAACTACCTGTTTTAACTGCATTGCCAGTAGAGGAGGTGCAGAGGACGCTGCAGCGGGGATCGCCTTTCCCTCGGCGCTCCGGGCCCAGGGGCTCCCGCCGTCGCTCCGCGGCTGGGGTGGGAGAGCGCGGAGAGCGGTGGGGTTGAAAGGAAATCTCGTGGGAAGTGTTTTTTCCCCCTTTTTTGAGATGTTTTACCCTTTTCTGTTAAAAGCGAAAATAAGGGAAACTTCCCAGGCCCAAGGCGCCGGCCTGTGGGGCTCCAGAGCGGTTATGTGCCTCTGAGCCCAGGGACATCGCCGTGCCGTGCAAAGAGGAGGACGTGGGATTGATCGGACGCACTAATTGTCCAACGGAAAGAAGAAACAGCTCTTTGAAGTAAAACTGCATTTAAGGAAAGAGATTCTAAGTGCGGTTACGCTCAGAAAAATGACTGTAGAAACTCCCCCTTTCCAACAGCTCTGCATCGGTGCGCGCTCATCGGCTAGAGCGGCTCGTTTCGGCGGTTACGTACGTG